ATTATCCCACAGTGCCCTCACGTTTTGATATTGAACAGTAAATATATGTATAAATAATTAGATATGTAGTTTTGTAAGCGTGGAATTGATGTGTTTATTTGAGAAGTTATTCATTATGTTTATCTCAGTGGCTTCATTTCATGATAACAAGCAGATAGCAAAATAATAATGAAGTAAGCAAAATAATGATTAAGAGCATTAGTTCGCTGAATTCAAAAGTTTCCGAACGCTTCGGACTGCTTATAACCTCCCTCTCTTCTTTTACCATCTGAGTGATAAAAAGTTCGTATTTCATAACATATTGTAGGTATGATAGGTCAACACTCAGCAATTTTGTTTGAAGTCGCTCCAACCCCTAGCAGAGTGCATGATAGGAATGAACCACTCGGATGGGAAGAAAATAGAAGGTTATGGACAACGGATGATAGTAGGTGTTTGTTTCCCAGAAGCTCTTCATCCCGTTCCAGCACATTTGGTGTGACTTCTGTGGAATACCTACTTTTCTGCGGCATTTGCGAAGAAAAACTGAAATTGAGGGAATTTGCTGAAATGTGTCTAATTCAAATTTACAAAAGAGCTATCCAAGCAATCTTTCCATTAACCACTATAAAATTTGCATTTGTCTCTGATTTAAAGCATATGTCAGCTGCTGCTCACCCTTAGTGTAATGTTCGCAGCACGAACGGGATCGAAGCGCACGGATTTATTGACTCTACTTCAAATTATGCAAAATATTCTATTCCTTCTCTGTGCAGTACTTGCTGGGACCACTGCTATTGATACTCGACAGACAGATGCTCGAAAGGGTCATTTATTCGTATACACTCTGCACTCAGCAGCCTTCTTTCCTACTGCAGGTAATATTTCTTAATTTTTTAACTCAATTCCCTTGTTCCTCCGTTTTGGTGTTTCTCCTAAATCCGCATTATCCAAATTTCCAAATTCAGTTGAGGTTGCATGGTCAGCTACCTTGAAAAATCGTCCAGCACTTCCCTCGTGGCTTCATCTCGTACCATCGCGACACAAGGCGATTGCGTACCTTGTAGGTGAGATTTGTCATTTTAACAGGTTTTAAGAAGATTTTGTCAATTAAAGCGATGGCTTAGTATGAGAGGAATGGAATATTCATCCAGAAAAGAATTGGTAGCATTAAAAAGGAAGCTAACGATAATGTGACCTTAAATCTAAATTCAATAGTCCTGATAATTTGAAGACGTCTAGTGGAATCTGAAAACAATGTGGAGAAACAATGAGCTTTGGTGTTCCCTATAATACTTACTACTTTTTTAGTTTGATTTTTTCTCTAAAATAATAATTGTGCAATTTTTGCAAAGCATTGCCCCCTTCTTCTTGCTGTTCTGAGAGATCTTCTCAGAAGGCATCTCGGGGTTGCTCTGTTTATTGTTCGAAACTTACTTAGTTCAACTTTCCGAGCTTTCAAATTCAGGGACTCCAGTGACTGGGGTAAGGCAAGTTACTGTTCATGTCTTTGCCAAACGACTTGACACATTTGAAACGAAGCAGCAGTACATCGTTATTTCCCTTGCCGATGACGGTAAGTCGTACTTTCAACTGCAGTTTTTCTGCCCTCTTAGCTAATCTATCTATTGCGTAGTAATAACGATTCCTTATGACCCCCTTAACTTTCATGTTCATTTTAAAGTCGAGTACAATGGCTTTGTCAATACTTTTTTTAATCAGCCACAAATTACGTTTTTACATTTGCGCTTAACTACCATCAAACTAATGTAATTTTTACAGAGCGTTATACCCGAGCTACGCAACAAATCATAGACTTGCATGTAACTAACGTCGAAGCTGAAAGTTTCCTCTCTGATAGGACTGGACTAATAGGTACCGTTTTTATCGAAATTTTGTTCCTTCTGTCTACTTTAAAGGATTGGAAAATGAAATGGGCTGTGTTCCCCTTCGATAGTTAATT